TCCATCCATCTGAGTAACACAGAAAATCTCATACTGGAAATTGGATTATGCTTATTTCAGAATGCTAACAGCCCTGGGCACCTGGGCAAATCTAATCAACATCTTTTTCAGAGGAATATAACAACATCCTAGGCTTCGAGCTATTCCTTTAAATTAAAACCTAATGTCTAACACATAATCAAAGATTCAACAAATATCTAAGATAAGATGAGCAAGAACCAGTAGAAATAACAGCCAATAGAAAGCACACAAGAATTCCAAATAACGGATTTCCCAAGCATGATTATAAAACAACGGTGCTTATTCTATTCCAGGAAAAATGCCAAGCTTTATAATGGTGACAGGAAACTGAAAACTATGAAACAAGACAGGAGATTGGAGGGTGGAGGGAAAGCAAAACGTGAGAAAACCAATTACAAAGAAGATGTGGGCTGTATCGATAAGGAATACACCACAGAAGAGATACAAGGACGTTGGCGCAATGGTGAACACCTGGCCGCTAGACCTGGCAAGCTACCACTTTCAAGTGAGAGGTGGGTAGAAGGCCTGATTATTTTGTGTTTCCAATATGAAAGTTGTTTTACAAATTTACTAGACATCACGAAAACACTTAGGATTTAAGAAACTCAAGGAGGGGGCCAGTGATGTGGGAAAGAAAAACGAAATGTCCTACAGGGAATATATGATAATCAGACACTACCCCTCACTCAGCAGCAAACTTTACATAGTCATAATAATGAAGACACCCAAACATGAAAAAAAAGTTATCAACATTTCACTGGAGGGACAGAGGGAAGATAACTGGGTTTATGTGTAAGAAAACTAGATCTGGGCCTCCCTGGTGGTGCAAGGGGTTAAGTCTCAGCACTATAAAGCTATCTGCAGTCACTATAGCACGAATTCAATCCCTAGCCAGGGAGCAACCCACATGGCACAGCAGACCTCTCCTGTCTCACCCGCTGCTCCCCTCAGCAGTGTATTTCAGTCACTCTGCCTGTTCTGTTCCCCACTCTGTCTCTGGTGAATCCTCTCGCCTCTCCACACCTCTGGCCTACACCCCAGCTCTTGTATGCATAAATAAATAAATCTGTAAAAAAAAAAAAAAGAAAATTAAATCCTCACCTTCAATAGTAGATCATCAAGAGAAACTATTGAAAATTGTAAAATCACAAAATAGACCCGTAAGTATGGTGTTTGTAAATATAGTTTCTCATATAATTTTTTTCTTTGTGTCATGGATTATTGAGGAGTGTGCTAATTTGCCAATATTTGGAAATGTCCTACCTTCTGTTAGGTTAACATACATATTTTTTAGAGACTCATGTTATTTCTCCTATTGTCTTCATGACTACAGGTCTTTTGGTTGTTCCGTAGCCATTACTTAACGTTTCCTTAGCTTATAGTCTGTTTAGATCAATAGTTTATCTGTCACACTTCATGCCTGAAACATCAAACTTCCAACTTTCCCTTCTCACTTTACATGACACATCACTATCTAACAAACTCACAAGACCATTGTTTCATTGAAATATTACTCAGCTATTTTAAAAGATGAAATAGTACCTTTTGGGACAAAATGGACCAATCTTGATATTATTATACTAAGTGAAATAAATCAGAAAATGAATGGTATCCGATGGTCTCACTGATTTGTGGAATATAAATAATGAAAAACTGGCAGAGAACAGCAAAAATAATTCTTAGACTGTGAAAAATACACTTGTTATCAGAGGGAACAAAGGGGTGGGAGGGATAGGATATTGGCATGGGAGGTTTCAAGGATGATGGAAGCATGTGTACATATGGAGATGTAAAAATGTACCCCAAAATGATATATGTTAACTATACATAATGTAAACTATTACATAATGATAGTTATAACCACTATAAACCCCAGTTTACAATTTTTACACTTTTTTTTATCATCATTTTTCTTAAAAATGCTGAGGCCCACAGGTAAAAGATTGAATCAAGAAGATGTGTTAGACCCATACTATGAAATACTATTTAGTGTTAAAGAAAAATGAAATGCTGTCATTTACAGCAAAATGGAAGGTGTTTGAGGGAATTATATGTTGTGAAGCAAGTCAGAATGACAAAGACAAATATTGCATATTTGCATAGTGGATGATTCCATGCAGTACTTACAGACACTAGCAGATATTAATAAACAAAGTGAGGTTTCTAAGTTTAAGAGGGCAGGAGGAGGCAGAGAAGATGAAAGGGTTATAAAGGATGGTGGTGCGGAAAAAACTCAGCTGAGGCCCTAGGGTTAGCTGATAGGGTCTGACTGAGTTTGGGGTAGACTGAACTGGGGCCCAGGGTTAGCCAGTCATTCAGGGTTTAAGTACGAGGGACACTGGACTAAGTCCAGGAGAGTCAATATTTAGGGTGGTACTAGAGGGCTAGAGAGAAGTAGATGGATTCAATAGGTATTTAGGGGGTTATGTTTTTATTGTAACAGGGATGTTCCCCTTCTGTCCCTCTTAACCCTCTGAATAGGGTCATGAGAGCTCTCTTCCCTCTCCATGAACTGTGGTCCCCAGAAAACCTGAAAGCAGTGAAAGGTGTGCTATGCATGATGGCTGAATGATTTTGGGATGTCTCAAGGTGATTGAGAGGGCAAGATGATAGTCCTGCTTAATGACAGGACAATTCTAGCAGGCAAAGAAATGATTCCACTGACAAAATGGGCAGCCATCAAGGCCCTGCTGTTCTTGGCCTATAGCACTAGAGTGACACATTCCTTGACACACAGACGATGCTCTGAAGTGCAGTTCTGCTCCTATTTACTGAACTCAGAACTCTGGGTCAGCAAAGAATGGCAGCCAGACAGGAGTTGCGAGCCTCCATTCCCAGTCTCCTCCAGGTTCCCACCCACTTCCTCTTTAAGTTCTCACTTGTAAATGCCCTCCTTCTTCTTTCCTTCCCAGTAGGGCTAAAGAGCTCCTGAACCAGTAGCCAGCAAGGCTAGTGGTTCCAGACTGGAGCAGGGAAAATACATAATGAACATGTCATGTCTTGTGTTGCCAGGAAATAGGGAAATGCTCAAAAAGGGATGTGGACATAACAAGAGGACACAGGAGTCAACAGGAAGATGTGGGGCAAGTGTTGCAGAGAAAGCCATGTGAAATAAAACTGGACCTATGATTTATGTTCATAGCTCTCAGATACGGTGTGATGAAAATAGAAAAAAAATTAGTAAAAGGAAGTTCTACTGAAAAGCTACCAAGTTTGAAAGTCACACTTCAGCCATGCATCATAATGAAGAAGCTCATTAGGAAGTACGCCCATATTGTATAAAGAGAAAACTTGGAATTTAATTTGGCAGTTTTTATCAGTAATGCTTGAAGTTACAAATAATAAATGAAAAACCATAAAAAAATCATTACTCTTGCAAGTTGTTTGAAGTGTCTATAAAATTCACATTTAAAAATGGCAAAGACTACACATAATCCTTCAAGCCAGAAAGATATTTTGTCTCAGGCTGCCCACAAGATCATAAAAGAAGCCAGAAGCAAAATGTGAAGATCTCATCCAAGAACTCTGCAATTGTCTTTGAAGATGCTTCCCACTGCCAGAGGGAGTCAGTTTACTTTCTTAAAGGTCAGCTGTGACCTCAAAAAACTAACGTACAAATCGTTTGGACTTATTACCTTCAATGAGTTTAATATTTTCTTCTATGCTATCAGTGTGTTAATTTCCACACAAAAGGCTAGGCACTAAAGATGAAGTGGCGGGCCTCCCTGGTGGTGCAGGGGGTAAAGTCGCAACCTGTGAGGCTGTCCACAGCCGCTGCAGCACGAGTGTGATCCCCGGCCAGGGAGCTACCCACATGGTGCAGCAGACCTCTCCTGGCTCGCCCGCCGCTCCCCTCAGCAGCGTATTTCAGTCAAACTGTTCTGTTTCCAGCTCTGTCTCTGGTGAGTCCTCTCATCCCCCGCACCTCTGGCCTGTACCCCAGTTCTTGTATGCATAGATAGCTAAATCTTAAAAAAAAAAAAAATTAAGTGGCAACGAACTAAGAGGGCAGGTTCTGAAATAGTATTGTCAGCGTTCAAATTCTTCACCTGCTACTTATTAGCTATGTGATCTTGGGCAAATTATACAACCACTGTGGGCCTGTATTTCTTCATATGTAAAATTGGGATGATTTAAAAAAAAAAAAACCCACCTGGAAGGGGTGGTCAAAAGGTTTCAAAAGTGCTCAGCACTTCCACTGCTCATGCAGTAATTCAATAAATGTTAGCTATTCATAATAGGGTAGTTTTTGTTTTTATTGCTTAGCCTAGAAATATATAAGCTTTGGGCCTCCCCTGGTGGTGCAGCGGTTGAGAGCTGGGCTGCGAAGCTGCCCACAGCCTCTGCAGCACCGGTTCGATCCCCAGCTGCCGGCGAGGGTCCCACATGGTGCGACAGACCTCTCCTGCTGCCCGCTGCTCCCCTCAGCAGTGTACTTCGGTCCTTCTGCCTGCTCTGCTCCCCGCTCTGGCTCTGGCAAATTTTCTCACCCTCCTCCGCTTCTGACTGTACCCAGTGCTTGTATAAATAAATTAATAAATCTTTAAATATATATATATATATATATATATATATATATATATATAGGGGCCTCCCCGGTGGCGCAGAGGTTGAGCGCTGGGTTGCGAAGCTGCCCGCAGCCTCTACAGTGCCGGTTCGATACCCAGCTACTCCCCGGCCACCAGAGGAGGGTCCCACACGCCCGCTGCTCCCCTCAGCAGTGTACTTTGGTCCTTCTGCCTGCTCTGCTCCCCGCTCTGGCTCTGGTGAATTCTCTCACCCTCCCACGCTTCTGACTGTACCCAGTGCTTGAATAAATAAATAAATAAATCTTAAATATATATATATATATATATATATATATATATATATATAAGCTTTGCCTCTAATTCTAGGTAATTCAGGTATAATTCTCAAAATTTTTTTTTTAACTTTTCATCATTTATGTAAGAAGTACTTACTAAGGTTGCTACTTCATACCTTACTCAAACATAGAAGGAATCAAAAGTTTTGGTTTAAAATGTTTCTTCCAACTCCCAGAAAACAAAAGGTTTTGTTGCTTTTAAATCAACACAGTATTATCTACACAAAGAAGCTAACAGTTCATGTCTGAAAACAAACTGTGAGATGCAGATGAAACTGTGATCAAAACAATTTAACAAAATTGCAAGAGAAAGTCAAGTTATGTCAACATAGTAAAATGTAATAAAGTATGCCACGTGATATTTAGTGCCTCTGAAGTAAGAATTTCGCTAACTCCCCTAACCCATTCTACCAGATAATCATTATTTGCTGTACTTGGTAAAGATTACAATTAAACTAGCTTCTAAAACTTAACAGACAAGGAAAAGGTAACCAACAGAACTCTACACTGACTTAATCTGTAAAGAAATGATATGTATTCATAGTTTCTTTTGAAGAGACAGCCTTGGGGTTGGGGAAGTAAATATTGTTTAAAAATCAACAATGATGTAAAAAATTTAAAAAATAATATAAAAAAGAGAGACAGCCTTTATTTTAAGGATTTTTACACTGAAGAATCCAAAAAGTGGTTAAGTTTTTTGGAATTTATTACCTATATTCACTGGAAATAATCTGAACAAGCAGGAAAATACAGTTAATACAACTCAAACACTACTAAAATAATTCCAGGACATAAGGTTTATCCAACATAACAATACCTCATAGATGCTGTCATTGTTATGAAAATTGACTGCTTCTTACTTTTTGAAACACACAGTAGTATAACTAACAATATTCAATAACTTCTGTTCTTTCCTGAATATATAAAAATTAAAATACCAATTAAAAAACTAATATATCTTCTCTTTAAATGTTTCTTTAAATATTTTCATTCAATAGTGGTGTAGCTTAAAAGAGTTTTCATTCACAAGTCAAACAACAATCCACCCAAAGGAAACTGATAGTCTACAGTGTAACATTACTCACATAGTGCAAATAAAGAGTTGAGGAATGCAGCAAGGACATTTCTAAAACATGTAACAGATAAAATTTTTAGAAGATACATGCAATAATGCAATAAGTTCTACTAAGCAGCTGGCCACAGAACTAGAACGTTTGATAATTTCACTGGTGACTTCAATGGAATTCCAGATGTTTCCGAACTCAACTTGAACTCTCATCTTAGGCTTTGTATTTGGCTTTTCCAGTTTCACTAATGACACAGACGTGCTATTAAAAAAATCCAGACATTCACATTAGAAAAGTGTATTCTGAAATGAAAGGCAAGAGCAGTATTTTGCATATCTTACACAAATAGTATTATGCTGCAGGGTTTTATTAAAAGAGGTTTGTGCAATCTTAATCTTCCTCACCCATGTTCATAACCTCATCCTTGGGACTCCTGCTCCAGAATAGGAAGCAGGCATTTGAAGGACAGTGAATTAAAAGACTTCCACTAGTTCATTCATTTCTTACATCTGACCATATCTATCATCTGAAATAATAAAGGGATGGTTATTGTATATTAAAGCTGTTCAACTGTTTCAGCCAGCAAGAAGTGTCACCCTAGCCTGGCCAAATTCCAGCTCTAAGGATGTTTGCACTTGACTACAGCTTTATGTGACTAATGGGAACCATCAGTCTGTTCAAATTATGAGGTGCTGGAAAGAAAAAACAATTCTTCTCTTTCGTAAATTTTTATATGGGTTCTGAAAAATGAGAGTGAGAAAAAGAAACATTACTTACATTCAAATCCCTGAAGTATTCATTATAGTCAAGGGCATATCCTACAACAAACCTGTCTGGTATTTCAAATCCAACAACTAAAAAGAATCAAAATACATCATTTAGATATAGAAAACATCACTTTCAAATATAGTATTTGCAAATGTGCCTTTTCTCCAAATAGTCTCTGAACTAACTAAACCATTTCATATAAAACTTGTTTGTGTTTGGTTAAATGATTGACACAAAGTAATTCACTTACAGTCTGGTCTATATCCAACACTTCGAGGGGTCCTTTTCACCAGCAAGCTGTTAATTTCAAAATGTGACATGTGACATATGGAGACATTACAGGGCATTGCAAAAGAGAACATTAATGTTCTGCAACATGGTTTCATCTGCATTTTTAACACACCCAAAGAAAGTAGGAAACAGAGAGCTAAATCACTGGACAGGGGCAGCAGTGAATTCACACTACAGATGAGGCCCTTGGTTGATCTCTACCTAAACACAATGGACTGTTCTAAGAACTGCACACTGATTACCAACCCACCATCAAAAGGCAGACATAATCAGGAGGATAAATGGGTGGGGAGAGCCAAGTGAGCAAAGATGAAAAGATAAGTGCTTTTAGTCCCAAATCCCTGGAAATAAACTCCCTAAGCCACAAAGGGTGAACATCCCCTTTTAAGACTTTTCAGATGTAGCTTACAAAAAGGAAATCTGGGTTAAAAAATAACTAGCATGCTAAATAAAGGAGCTAGTATTTATTTTTGAGAGCAAAAGTTGAGGGAAGATGAGTCAACAATAACAAAAACGAATTTTGCAGCCTAAATGCCTTCTGCTGAAATTTTTCAGCCATTTAAAAAAGCTACAGACAGTGCTTTGGAATGCCTTTACATGTGTTAAAGGCCGTCCCAATAAAACTTATGATTTCATTCCTTCCTAGATAAATATATTGAAAGAGCTGTAAAGTACCTGAAGTGATTCTCAATCTTAGCTGTACATCAGAATCACTTGGGAACTTTAAAAAACAAAAACAAAACTCAGATACCCAAGCCACACCCCTAACAATTACATCAGAATCGCTGGGGATGGGACACAGACAGGTTGTTTTGTTTCTTTAAATTCTCAGGTGATTTCAACGTGCAGTCAAAGTTGAGAACCACTGGCCTAAACTTTAGACTCCAAGGGCTCATCTAATCAAATCCCCTATGATTCTCTTTCATTAATTAGAGGTTACACTTAGACTCAATTTCCATTGAGAAAGAAAGAAACCACTCACAGCAAAAACCATTCCTCTGCCTGAGCTCACTCAGGAACACCAAAGAAAAGGAATGTCTAATCTCAGTGCAAACCTCACTAAAAGTTCAGGTGACTTAGCACCTCATATGCCCATAAATATGAATGCTTAATAAAGCTTCATCTGCTAAGGCAATATTCTAAATCATCTCTGAAGCAATTTCCATAATTTAGATGAGTAGTCACAGCAATGAAGATATACAAAGAGCCAATAAGCCAAGAAAAGATGCTCAAAATTACTGATGATCACAGTAATGCAAATCAAAACCATGTATCAAACCCACTAGGATGGCGTCAATAAAAATTTTTGAAAAACCACATAGGCAATGTGGACCAGGTTACCTGGGTCAAAACTCTCCTCTGTATAGAATAATAGCTCTGTGACTTTGGGCAATTCCCTATGCCTCAGTATCCTTATCTGTAAAGTAGGAATAATACTACTCCCGAGCTGTTGTGGGATGAAGCTATAATTAGGAATAAATACAGGTTGAACTACTAAAGCAAAAGCCAACCACAGGTAGGCCAGGAGGTGAAGCTGGCTTAGAAGAAAAGGATGCAGGCGGGGCCTCCCTTGTGGCATAGGGGTTGAGTCTCAATCCTATCACTGCTACAGGCTGAGTTTGATGCCCAGCCAGGGAGCTAACCCATATATGGCACAGCAGATCTCTCCTGACTTGCCTGCTTCTCCCCTTAGCAGTGTATTTCAGTAGATCGACCTGTTCTGCTCCCCACTCTGTCTCTGGTGAATACTCTCCCACCTGAAAATCTGGCCTACATCCCAATTCTTATATGAAGAAATAAATAAATAAATCTTAAAAAAAAGAAAGAAAGAAAGAAAGAAAAGGACACAGGCATTTTAAACTCTCTCTCTTTTTTTTTTTTTTGGTGGGACCCTCGCCGGCGGCCGGGAAACGAACGGGTGCTGCAGAGGCTGTGGGCAGCCTTGCAGCCCAGCGCTCAACCGCTGTGCCACCAGGGGAGGCCCCCTTTTAAACTTTTGATTCAGATATAAAACAAGATATAACAAACATTGCCTACCATCTTCAAACTCCTCTTTGAAATCTATGGTCTCACAATTTTAAGAAGGTCCCAAATCTTCTGCCATACTATCTGGGACAAGTTGATATCATCATTAACATGCTCAAAAACCAACTGTTAATATTATGCAAGGGATTTAGTAGCACAAGACAAAATTATTTGCAAAAGATGTCTACTGAGTCTTATTTGAGATTACAATACTTTTTAAAAAGAAAATATTTACCCTTACAAAAAAGCAACTGCTTAATTCTTTTTCAGATGAAGAATATATACTATGTCAAAATGTCATACGTACCTTGCAACCTTGACCATCTTTGGATTATGCTGCTTGACCAAGGAAAGCAAGGTTTGCATTGTTTTGCCAGTGTCAATTATATCCTTTCAAAAAAGAAAAAAAATATTTAAATGGTAAATAAAACCACCATAGCTTTAAATTCAGCCATTATATAAACACAAAATATCAAAACCCCACATAAACTGGAATAATGCTATTTTTCTCAGCAGTAATTCTCATCATAATTCACACTGAGATATTATGGAATTTAAATCATCTGGCTCTCAGTAATCAGGAATGTCAGTCCTCAGGACTACATGTTGTAGACACCAAAAGGTCAATGACAACAAATTTAAAAATATATGTGCAAGTATGGGCCTTCCCGGTGGCGCAGCGGTTGAACGCTGGGTTGCGAAGCTACCCGCAGCCTCTACAGCACTGGTTCGATCCCCGGCTGCTCCCCGGCCACCAGAGGAGGGTCCCACATGGCGCGCAGACCTCTCCTGCCACCCGCCGCTCCCCTCAGCAGTGTACTTCGGTCCTTCTGCCTGCTCTACTCCCCACTCTGGCTCTGGTGAATTCTCTCACCCTCCTGCGCTTCTGACTGTACCCAGTGCTTGTATAAATAAATAAATAAATCTTTAAAAATAAATAAATAAAAATATATGTGCAAGTATGGGCCTCCCCAGTGGCGCAGCGGTTGAGCGCTGGGTTGTGAAGCTGCCCGCAGCCTCTGCAGCGCTGGTTCGATCCCCGGCCACCAGGCGAGGGTCCCACATGGCGCGCAGACCTCTCCTGCTGCCTGCTGCTCCCCTCAGCAGTGTATTTCGTCAGTCTGCCTGCTCTGTTCCCCGCTCTGGCTCTGGTGAATTCTCTCACCCTTCCATGCTTCTGACTGTACCCAGTGCTTGTATAAATAAATAAATAAATAAATAAATCTTTAAAAAAATATATGTGCAAGTATATGCATATGTGTTTTATTAGATTTGTGATTCTACCCTACATTGTAAAAGGTGTTTTAGATTTTTTTCCCTTAAATTCAAGATTGGGATGCACATCCCTCAACTCTCCAAGGTTAACAGATTATACTTTGAGAAATAATGCTTTATATTAAAAGTATCCAAATTAATAAGGTTTTATAATATAAAATGATCTTACATGAAAGTGACTCTTGGCCAACTTAGTTAAAAATAGGAAACTATTCAAGTTCTTCAAAATTTTCTCTATAGATGGTATAAAGCAGTGCTTTACAAAGTAGGATCTATGAGTCATAAGAATCACTAGGGCTAAGACTTGTCAAAAATGCAGATTTCTGGGCTGTGGCAGGCAGAATTCTAATGGCCCCGAACACTCCTGCCCCTTGGTGTACAGACCCATTATTTGCTTCCCCATGAGTGTGAGATGGATCTGTGAAAATGGGTCAGACCGCCTCTTCCATGATTCACTGTTACACAAGATTCTCCTACGGGTGAAGTCAACCGACATGTGGGAGGGCCATGTGCTAGGACAGGAAGACAGCCGGTAGGTTCTGAGAGCAATCCCTGGCCAATAGACAAGAAAATGGGACCCTCTAGGGCCTCCCTGGTGGCGCAGGTAGTTGAGTGCAGGGCTGTGAAGCTGTCCGCAGCCTCTGCAGTGCCAGTTCAATCTCCGCCAGCCACACAGCAACCCACATTGCGTGGCAGACCTCTCCTGTCTCACCCGCTGCTCCACTCGACAGTGTATTTCAGTCAGTCTGCCTGTTCTGTTCCCCACTCTGTCTCTGGTGAATCCTCTCACCCTTCCGCACATCTGGCCTGTACCCCGATTCTTGTATAAATAAATAAATCTTTAAAAAAAAAAAAGAAGAAAATGGGACCCTCAGGCCTACAACTATAGGAACTAAATTCTGCCATCAACCAGAATGAACTTGGAAGAGGACTGGGAGTCACAGGTAAGCTAGATGTCACAGCCTTGATTCAGCTTGATTAGACCCCTGAGCTGCCGACTCAGCTAACCTGTACTCAGGCTCTTGACTCACAGAAACTGAGAAAATCAATATGCATTTTCTAGGTAGCAGTACCCAAGGGAAAATGAATCAAGCTGAAGTAGAATGAATGAATCATCTGCATTGGAAAAAAGCAACCAGTTCCTGAGTATGTTCATGAATATAAAGTCTCTGGGGAAAATGTCATTTATTTTTTAATCTTTAATCTGATGTTTCTAAAAAGACAACAGCAAAAATGAGTTGGGGAATTACTGCTGCTCTTAAGCCTTAAGCCATTTTACAGAAAAAAAAATAAGAACTTATTCTTTTGGTAAGAGTATAAAGCATACAACCACTCTGATAAGTAAATTGGCAATAACAGTAAAATTGAAAATGTACAAATTCTACAATGCACTTGGCCTATATCTGGAAGGAACTCACACACATGCATATATGAACACACAAAAGTGTGCTCTTAGAAGCTCTGTTGTAGTCGGAAAAACTGGAAGCAAATTCCCTATTTTGTAGAGAAAAATTGGTTGATTTGCACACTGAAATGGTATGTTACATTTTAAGGCAAACTTAATATATCTCAAGATGAATAACCTCAAAACTAATTTTGAGTGAAAACAAGTTACAAGAAAGAATACGTATACTGCAGCAGTACATACATTTTAAATAACAAAATACATTTTACATTGGCGATAAATATATGTATATTATATATATATATATATACACACACACACACACACAAAAACACACACAACAGAAGTATAAAGACATGCATGGGAACTATTATACATATATATGGAAATAACATTAATGTCAGCTGTCATACTTCTGGTAAAGAATGGAGCTTTCGCTATACTACGATGTTTAATTTTCTTAAAGAACACTCTGAGAAGCAAATGACAAAAATATTTATGGTTTGTGGTGGGTACATGGCTGTTAGGCATATTCTTTCCTGCTTTCAAAATGTTTCATAATTAAAGAGTGAAAGCAAAAGGCCCAAGTGAATTGAGGAGGCAAGAAGTAGTAAGAAAGGCTTTGTGGAGTTGGCTATTGAGCTGGATATGAAAGGATTCAAATATGAGATAAAGGAGGGGGGAAAAGCACAGCAAGTGCAAAAAAAATATAGAGGAAACAGCAGAAACAACCTAAGTGCCTGTAACTGGTGAACAGCTAAAATGTGGTCTACCCATACAATGAACTATTATTCAGCAGTACAACATGGAAGAACCCTGAAAACACTGAGCTAAGTGAAAGAGCAAGTCACAAAAGCCATTTACATTGTATGATTCTGTTCATACAAAATTCCAGAATAGGTCAATCTTACGGATATCAAGTAGACTGGCAGGTGTTAAAAGGCTGGGGGAAGGGAGAATGGGGAGTGGGCTATGAAGATGTCCTTCAATGAACTGTGGATATGCTGTGAATAGAAATCACTGAACTGTGTAATGTAAATGGGTAATGGTATATGTGAATTATATCTAAAAAAATTGTTATTTAAAAAAAGGAAACAAAAAGCAAAAAAACCATGGGCAGAAAATTGGGGGTACAGGCTCTGGGAAGAGTACAAAGTATAGAGATCATGAAAGGAAGCTGCTGAAGAATGAGGTTGGTAAGGTTATGATGGGGCCACACTGAAAAACTCAGACTAAAGAATGAGGGAAATAACATCTCAGCAAGAGGCATGATCAGAGCTGTGCTTTAGAAATTTATAGTCTTCCATATAGCTACATAAAGCTGTAAGATTTGAAAAGGGTGGCTACAGACAAAAAATAAATAGAGGTATATAGAGGCTGCCAGACAATAAGTGATCAGGGGGGAAAAAGCATGGACGAGGGAGGGACAGGAAGTTTGGGGGCGGGGGAAGGGACAAGAGATTTTACATAGGGTGGTCAAGGAAGACCCTAATGAGAAGGTGATTATAAGTGAAGACCTCAAGAGTAAATAAATCAAGGGTTCTTACACCTGAGTATGCATCAGCATCATGCAGATTGTTAAAGTGTATCTTGCTGTTCTTGGAGAGATTTTGATTCAATAGGTCATTTACATTTCTTACAAGTTCCGGGCTGATTTTGGCCTAGAGATCACACTTTGAGAACCAGTAAGGAAAAGGAAGTGAAGTTTTGAATCTTCACTCCACTTACTAGATGCCAATCTTGGGAAAACTGCTTAGCCTCTGCTTATTTCCTTAACACTTAGAATGGTGCCTGGCACAAAGTGAATGCTCAAAAACCTGGCTGCTATTACATGTAAAATACTGTAGGATATAATAGCAAATAGAAAATAGAATATAAACAATAAATATTGTGTAAAACACAACTTAGTACAACATGTTTTAAAAGAAAAAAAATTCAAGCCCAAAAGAGAAGGGTAAAAAATATACCAAAATTTTTCTATCACCAGTACACATAAATTAGTATGTATTTTTCACACAAAAAAAACACAATTTCACTCCTACATAACATAAATCCACCATTAAAGAAGATGGACAGGAATTTGTTTCCCTGGCTTACCTTTATGACTGTGCATACTAAGTTAGAAAATCATAAACACTATATTAAAAGTAGGTATAACTTACCTCAACAATCAAGACATTCTAGGAGAAAAAGAGAAACAAAAATCAGTACAGTGACAGTGTTTCCAATTATAAATCAAATCATATTCTAAGGAATTACCCAAACTCTTGTTTTAGGGTACTTCACTATATCAAACTTTGATTTAAACAAGTGAGTCATCTGTTAGGATTTAGAACTCATTAATATGAAATTCTAGCAATGGAATTTTTAAAAATGAAGTTTGGGGCCTCCCTGGTGATGCAAGGGGTTAAGACGCAACCTATGAAGCAATTCACAGCCACTCAATACGGGTACAATCTCCAGCCAGGGAGCAAACCCACATGGTGCAGCAGACCTCTCCTGGCTCGCCCACTGCTCCCCTCGGCAGTGTGTTTCGGTCGATCTGCCTGTTCTGTTCGCCGCTCTGTCTCTGGTGGATCCTCCCACCTCCCGCGCCTCTGGCCAGTACCCCAGTTCTTGTATGCATACATAAATAAATCTTTAAAAAAATTCTCTATACATTCTCTATACAGTCATTTAACAATTAATATTCATTACTTAAGGAGACATCTACTCTTGGGTAAGTCATCAAATTTCTCTGGGTCTCAGTGTCAAACAAGTAACTTCAACTACTATGTCTTCCAACCCCAACATTCTAAGAACTGTAATTTGTACAGTAATTCCACTATTATGCATTCAACTTACTATATGGAATCCAATTCAAAGCCTATTTTCTCATTAAGTTGAAACTAATTTGTGTTTTCTGGATATGTTCACATTCTTGGACTAAACTAAAGAAATATAACCAATGCTTCCTCACCCAATTTCTACTTCTCGGAATTCTATACTTGGAAGAAATCTTAGAGAAAATAAAGTCTAACAATTACTTCCAAAATAAAGCAGTGTCCTAGCTGTTGTTATGCTAGTTACTGGAATGAGGTAGCATTTCACATATTGGTTATAATCACTGGCACAAGAAGATTCATGCTTACTGATTATTTGTAGTTCTCATTTCTCTGTCACATCCCTATAAGCATCAGAATTTCATTGTTCTACATATTCTTCTAAGTCAGTGATTACTAAGGTAGAGCACACAAGATTGATTCATTTGGTTGTAAGAAAGAAATACCAGAACATGCTTAGTGAACCAGCCACTATAGACAACTATAGCCTACTAGAAGCCTATTGTGCAAGCAGGAAAAAAAAATACTTTTTATTCAAAATGGAGCTCAAGAAAATAAAAGACACCAAAAAAAAAAAAATGGGCCAATCCAAAGGTATACAGCAAATGAGTAATATGTCTCTTAATTTTATGAGGCCCCATTCAATTCTAATTAAACTGAAAATATATTAATACATTGAAAAGTCATGTTAACTGTTCAAATGAATGCCAGTAGCATGCAAGGAGTACAAGATTAGAGTTAGACCTTTCTTGATTCAAACTCTGGCTCTGATACCTAACTGCATGAACTTGATTTTTTACTTCCTTATTTACAGAAAATGGATAATATCTTCTTTATAGGGCATTAACCTCAGGAGGATTAACTGAGATAATATAGTAATACAGTATAGTAGGAGATATTTAAGAAGTCAGTTTTAATATATCAGAAGAATAATATTCAAAAATCTTTTTTCTTATAGTTTAAGTTTTTGTTTTTTATGTATTATTTTATTGAAGTACTGTTGGTTTATATCCTTGTTAATATTTTGAAAGTAGAGGATTTCCCCCCCTCGATGTAGTCATCACAGCACACCCACCAACAAAGTACCCATACTCCTACACCATAGTCCTTCTTCTCTATTAACTTCAATCAACTGTCTACATTGGAAGAATTCTGATATATTTTAAAAACTCTGCAAGATTTCTTAAATTTCTTAAAATAAAAGCATGCTTGAATATATTGAGTATTCTAACTGCAAGAAACTATTGTAAGAGTTCTACATGCAAATTATTTCACTTAATCCTTTTAACTCTCAGTGGCTGCCATTATCATCTCCACCTTTACATAAGGGAGAGAGAGGGGTTAAATAACCTACTGAAAGCCACACAATTAGGAAGCACTCAGTGAGCCAGATTTTGAACCAAAGCTGACAGGCTCCAGAACCCACACTTTTAGCCATTGCTTCTCTACCTTTTAAGAAACTATGAGTCTAGGGCCTCCCTGGTAGTGCAAGGGGTTAAGCACCGCACTATGAAGCAATTCGCAGCTTCTGCAGCATGGCAGCAAGAGTTTGATCCCCGGCCAGCCTGGGAGAAACCCACGTGGTGAGGCAGACCTCTCCTGTCTCGCTTGCTGCTCCCTAAGCAGTGTATTTCAGTTGATCTTCCTGTTCTGTTTCCCACTCTGTCTCTGGTGGATCCTCCTCCACCCCCCCCCCCCATCTCTGGCCTGTGCCCCAGCTCTTGTATGCATAAATAAATAAATCTTTAAAAAAAATAAAATATGAGTTTATTTTTTTAACTGTTCGGAAGGATCCCAAATTAGATCCCCACAGAGGCAGACAGCAGTACATGACAATATGAACATTTAAGCTTAAGGTTGGATTCTGCTGCTTCTTTGTTATATGACCTAGGGAACCATATATAAACTAGATTGCTTCCAAGGGTCAAATAACACCAATTTAAGTGCACAGGTAACTATGAAAACTACCCTTTAGTGATTGATTGAAAGTACAATGTTACTAATAGACCCTTAACATGTTGATATATGTGCCCTTTTCTTCCTCTTCAAGATACACACCTTTCCAGTTAAAGTTGAAAGATCATCTCCACCAATTACTTTTATGTCCCCTGTTGACTGGTCATTCTAGTGAAAAAAAGAAAAGAAAGATATAAATATGTATATCCTTATATGTACCACACCTCATATTATCAAAGGGAACTAGAATATTTAAGAAGTTAGCTAACTAATGTCATAGAATTATGATATTCTAAATGATACAAATTATAAGAATTATGTTTCTAGAAATGAACAACTAGTAACTTTCAACTAAAGATTAGTGAAAATTAAAAAGTCCTAATCAGCCACTACTGACTTTATGCTTTAAGGAAAAATAGGGTGCACCCTTTTCAAGTGTGTAGTATCATAGCAGTGACCCATCTTCACGCATGGTCATTTCTGAACCATGAGGGAAGTTATTAGCATGACAGGTATCAGGTTCTGGTCCTGGAGTCAAGCAAGCTGCAGGGTTTGATCTTTATCACCATCAACCCCAAGGACATTTCTCTCAAAAGTCTAGTTCAGGTCCAAGTCATCTTCAACTTAGTCTTAGGAAATCAGGTCTAATCAGTAGTCCTTTAAGGCGTACTTCTTAGGTTCCCAGTTTTCTGCTATGACCAGAATCCAGTAGAAACCCTTATAGGAATTTGAAAGGTAAATAATTTATAACCAGTGTAACTGGTGGTTATAATGATCATAATTTGGCTGTGCTGGATTCAAGACAGAAAATCAGGGTGAAAGAGCAGATGAATGGAAGAGCTTACATTTGCCCTACCAGAGAGCAAACCCTACCATAAAGCTACAGCAATTACAACACTGCTGCACCAGCATAGTAGACAAAGAGATCAAGGAACACAACACAGTTCAGAAATAGACTCAGAAATATAGGAGGATTTAGTATATGATAAAGATGGTATTTGAAGTCAGTAGGGAAAAGATGAATTATTCAATAAATGGTGTTTGATAAACTAGTTATCCATTTGGGGAAAAAATAAAGTATGACCCCTACCTCACAGCATATACACAAATAAATTCCAGATGAATTAAAATCTAAATGTAAAAAATAAAGCCATAAGCAGACTGGAAAAAAATGTAGAATATTTTCACATCCTTAAAAAGGGTAAAAACCTAGGCATGACATGAACCCAAACTGAAAGAAAAGAGCTGCAGCAAATAATCCTATTATACACTGGGAACCAACAAAAAGAACCCGATAGGAAAATGGTGAATTGATACAAATAGGCAATTCACAGACATAACATAAAATATCTAAGAAACAAATACTAAAACAATGTGATTCTACTGTTCACCCATGCATGCTGGCAAAATATAAGCCTAATGATATAAGTTGGCAAAAGTACAGGAAAATAAGCACTTGCTGATGAGAGTATAAACTGGTGCAACCTCTTTTGGAAATGATACAGCAGTATCTATTAACATTAAAATATTCATGTCATTTGCCCCAGTAATCTCACCTCCAAGAATTAGTGCTATGAAAAGACTCACAAGAATGCAGAGGTACATACAATGATGTTCACTCTATCAATTGTTTATAGCAAAGTGGAGATAACTAACCTATATTTTAACAGGGAACTACTTAAATTTAAGTTCATCCATACACTGAAAAACTTACTATGCACCTATTAAAAGAATCTAATAATCTATGCATGCTGACATAAACAATGCCAATTAAAAACACCAAGTAACAGGGACCTCCCCGGTGGCGCAGCGGTTGAATGCTGGGCTGCGAAGCTGTCCGCAGCCTCTGTGGCGCCTGCGAGGGTCCCACACAGTGCGCAGACCTCTCCTGCCACGCCCGCTGCTCCCCTCAGCAGTGTACTTCGGTCCTTCTACCTGCTCTGCTCCCTGCTCTGGCTCTGGTGAATTCTCTCACCCTCCCACGCTTCTGACTGTACCCAGTGCTTGTATAAATAAATAAATAAATCTTAAAAAAAAAAACAAAAAAAAAAAAAACAAAAAACAATCACCAAGTGCTGCCTATGAATAATGTGCTGCCTATGAAACTGCTTTTGTTCATTGTTTTTAAAGTTTATAATAGCAATTACTGCTGAGCATTGAGAACGGTGAAAAATACTTTTATATACTGCTGTTTTTGTTATATATGAAATAACACTGTATGCAGTTTTATTTTTGAAAAACACAAATGATCCAAAATCATTCAGTATTGCAAACTAAATGTAAGATGTAAGTATGACTTCTGATAGCAAAAACCCTTGCATGTTAGTTCTCATCTTAAGAAAATTACAAACACCCTTTAATTTTAATTAACTTAAAATTCTGAGTTTCCATACAGAATTGATTAGTATCAAAAAAATATACAAAACCTGAAGCTTTAGATCAGTGAATTACAGCAAATGATTTACACTGTAAATGAAGTTAAATAGTGACATCTTCTGTAGAAATTTGGTATTACAGGTCAACACCAATTGAAACTTTTTTACAGAGGAAAAAGAAGTGAGGAGAAAAGGTCTGAGAACTACAGTGTAAGCCATCATGGGGAAAAAACCCTTATGATTCAAAGGCTACGGGTTAACAGAGGAACAGACATGAGAACTCCCAGCATGCAAAACACTGAAGCTCCAAGTTCCATATTTCTGTTCACCCCAAGTTTTTATCTTAAGTCTATTTCAAGGCTTTTTTTCATGGAAATAGAAATGGAGGTTAATAAAGATGATTCATTTCAGAAAGCTACAGTTCACTGTGCTAGAATAAAGGTGTTAAGTGCCCAAACTGCATACAAATGGCATCCATGGATCAATTATTCCACCAAAAGGGTTGGCTTTCCTCCTTAACCCCCCTTCCTTTCAGCCTAGAACTAGTTTCTCAATTTATACTTGCTTCATTACACTACTGAGATGACGACAGTAGTGTAATGAACTAGCACAGGAGAGGGGAGTGTCCCCCACCCACCTTCGTGTTGCTCTTCCCTCTTCTCTACCATCCCGTCTCATCTCCTCATTCCTCCCAGAAAGCCCATCTGTCCTTAACTCCAGAGTAACTAACTGTCCACTACATAAAATCTCAGAGAAGCTTTTTGGGTTTACAAATACATACCTGTATTTTCATTTTGTCTACCTTTCTTGAGTTAGGGAGGAAAATGAGAAGGGTAACAAGGAACTTTATTTGCTTATCCCTAGGAATTCTGAAAATCTCTAGATAGCAACAAGAAACTGGAGGTTAGTATAGGAATAAGAAAGTTCTGTGAAAACATGTAACAAATGGGTTGCAAAAGAACTGCTTGGAACAAGCAAGTTGAGACTGTAAAAGAAGGAGGCACAGAGGCCAATCACCAAAGCTGGGTTACTAAGAGAGCATGACTAGGCGTATTACAGAGGTAGGAAGTTCAGATTTAGCACTTTGTGGCTTAGCATTATTTAGCCTGCTTTTTGAAATGAATTTTAGATCATTCTTTCAGGACACTAGAATGGTGGAACTTCAAGGAATAGCCATTCCCTCTACATCCAGTGAGACCCCAAGTCTACCACACTCAATCACATTTCTCTTCACACCATAATCTCAATCACCTCTGATCTTTAACAGTTTTCCTGTGCTCTGATTAAATATCAACAAAATTGAGAATATTAGAATCATATTTAGAAGCAGACTGCAATCTCAGATGAAAATTGGTAGACAACTGATTTTCTAAAAATATATGCGGGGGGGCTTCCCCGGTGGCGCAGTGGTTGAGCCTGGGTTGTGAAGCTGCCCGCAGCCTCTGCAGCGCTGGTTCGATCCCCAGCTGCTCCCCAGCCACCAGAGGAGGGTCCCCCATGGCGCACAGACCTCTCCTGCCGCCCGCTGCTCCCCTCAGCAGTGTACTTCGGTCCTTCTGCCTACTCTGCTCCCCGCTCTGGCTCTGGTGAATTCTCTCACCCTCCTGCGCTTCTGACTGTACCCAGTGCTTGTATAAATAAATAAATAAATAAACAAACAAATAAATAAATCTTAAAAAAAATATATATGCAGAAAAAATAAGCCTGGAAGAAGATACACCCAGGTAATAAATTAATTTATTCACTTGTACTTTGAGCTCTTATAAAAGAACATACTGCTTTTTTTTTAAAAAAAGCTATTTATCAGTCTTTAAAAGCATGGTGCTGAAGCAGGGCCTTTAAATCTAACCCTGCACTATCTGATACAGTAGCCACTAGGTCAAATGGCAATTTAAGCTTAAATTGCTTAAAACTAGTTGCACAAGACATTTCAAGTGCTCGACAAGCTACATGTGGTTAGCAGCTCTCTTAGACAGCACAAATACAGAAAATTTCCATCATTATAGAACAGTCTCTCTAATAGCACCACACTAATTAAATCAAAGATACTATTCAACACAACCTAGTACTAAGATTGAAAGGTTAGTGCTGCCTTTAATAGTGCTGCCTTTACAGACCTTCAGAAATAACCGCATCCTAGCTTCATCCTTTCATTCCAGATCTAGTTTGGGATTAGGAGCTTATGAAATAAATATATTCAATAGTACCACTTTTCATGGCCTAAGATAGTACCTTGCTTATACAAGATGACCTATCTGTGTTTCCTGAGTGAATTAATTTCCTTTACAAAGTGTGTGTTTTCACAGAAACAAACTTAAACACTACCTTTATGTTCTAAGTATTGGTGAGTTTTTATAAAACCTCAGTTGCCTAACAAGAGCTACATCAGAGTGAAAACCCACAGGTCAGGGCTAGAAAGTGTACTTTTAGCCCTAATTCTGTTAGTTTCCCTATACCATGAATAATACACATCCTCATTCTTGTCAGTTTAAAGTAAACAAATTCTTTAGTTTCAATTAAATAAGCAAGAGAAAGGCATGAATCAATACACTTGTGACAGACAGACATAGGTTTGTAAAAATAAGTTTTCATCAATAAAACCAAGTGGTAACTTGGATTTAACTTCAACTCTCCTGGGGAAAAAAAAAAGCTTACCTCAAAGCCACTAAATATACATGGAGAAAAAGGTCAGACTGAAAGATACTGACACTTTGTAAGATGAGACACTAAGAAATGCAATATTTTCTGCATTTTTCTTTAATAAATCACTCAGCTACCTTCTTAAAAATTTACTATGAAGCAATGTACATATCTGATATATTAAACAGTTAGCTAAATCAAGTGACTTCCGCAATCAAGACCAAAAATTATAGCTTTATGAACCTTGACTATGACTGAGGGAAAAATATCCCATAATTGGCAAAATAAATTCTTTTTTTTTTAAAGATTTATTTATGCATACAAGAAATGGGGTATAGGCCAGAGGTGCGGGGGTGGGGGGGATGTTGGTGAGAGGATTCACCAGAAACAGAGTGGGGAACAGAACAGGCAGACTGACTGAAATACACTGCTGAGGGGAGCAGCAGGCGAGGCAGGAGAGGTCTGCTGCGCCATGTGGCCAGCTGGGGATCGAGCTTGTGCTGAGAGGCTGCGGATTGCTTCATAGTGCTGTGCTAACCCCTTCCGCCATGACGGAGGCCCAGCAAAATAAATTCTATTTGCAGGCAAAACAACTGACTAGTAGGGAATACACAGAGTTAATGGCTTGTGTTCAGACCAAAGACCTGTATGATCTTGGGGAACTCACTAAGTACTTCTGTGTACTTCATGGTTCTCCAATGCACATGGAAGTAATAATTTGGAACTAAGGAAAAAAGGTTTTCTACAAGAGTACAAATAATCAGAACAATTTCACTTCAATATAACCCATTTAGTCTGGACACACTACAAACCAGGCTAATTTTCCTTTTGTGTAAGGCCCACACAAAAATATTTCCACAAAAATTTACTTCTCTGACAACTTCTCTTCCTGAGGCTTCATTTCTTTATTAAACTATTTTAGTGAAAAAAAATTATCATAGAATTAAACTTACAGTGAGGAGAACACATTTGCTTATTTATGAATTATTTCATTTTTCTGAATATCACAGACCCTTAGGGATAGAAAAGATCATTGACTATATAGTACTACATGTGACTGTTCTAAGATGCTCATTCACATTTTAATATCTCTGAAATGGATGTATTGCAATTGAAGGCAACTTACCACTACAACTGACAATGCCTTCTTTCTTACAAGAAGATAATGGTACAAAAAGTAAGGGCCTCCTTGGTGACACAGGGGTTAAAATTTTAGCACTATCAAGCTATCACCAGCCACTGCGGCATGAGTTCCATCCCTGGCCAGGGAGCTGACCCACATGGCTCAGCAGACCTCTCCTGTTTCACCCACTGCTCCCCTCAGCAGTGTATTTCAGTCAATTCACCTGTTCTGCTCCCCAGTCTGTCTCTGGTGAACCTTCTCACCTCCCACACCCCTGGCCTATACACCAGTTCTTGTATGCTTTAAAAAAAAATAATTTTTTAAAAAAGTAATGATAAGTGTTAAAATCAGTGGTATCTTGGATTTAATGAAATGTGGTATTTGGAATTCTTAGGCAATCTCCCAGGTAGGCAGTAAGCAATAACACCTTGCCTATCTATCCTGTTAAGAGTTACATAGCTCTCTGAGCTTGGACCTAGTTTGTGGAGACATGGATAAAGGCACTAAAGAAGGTCTGAATTGTTGGTAAAAACAGGACCCATTACAGTGCCTCCCTGAGGAAAATGGTGAAAAAAACTGAAATCAGCCAGTATGCAAAGTACACTTCTTCCTTCTGGGGCAAAGTCAAAAGAGGTGAGTTGTGGGGTTCTGTCACTGTGCTTCCTGCATGAAAACGGTGCCTGGACCTCCTCACCACTTCTGTTGTCACAGTAAAGTCTACCATCAGAAGAATGAGGAAATTGAAGACCAATAGAAATTTCACCATTTGAAACATTGCTAGCCTATAATAAATGGGTTAATTTATGCAAAAACACTTCAAAAAGAGCACATAATCTATAATTCATGTGTGCATGTATACAGAGAAAAAATTCTTTGAGCTATCAGAAATAAAAATGGTAGTGAAATTTAATCAAGGTAACTTAATTCCTTTATAATTTTCTGTGCTTATATGCTTTTATAACAAATATATTCAAATTTTAAGTAAAATATATTCAAATTTTATTTTTAAGAGAAACTGTTGTGGTTCTTTATATATTCTGGGAACATTTAATAGTTCACGCAGCATTTCTTTTGATGACTACAGATCAGTCAGCATTTAATTCACTATTTCAAACTGGTCAAAATAAGCATGTAAAAGTGTACTAACATCAATGTTACTAATGTTGCAAACAATCTTAAATTTCATTTTTATAATTTAATGAAATTAATTGCCTGTTTTTTTAATATGCCTATGTGAATATTATCCATGACAAGCTAAGGAATATTAAATAGGGTAGAAACGTTACTTCAAATCAACAGAAAGTATACAAATGATCTTAATTTTTATTGTTTAGTAGTAAATCTACTCAGGATTTCACTAAAACAGAACTAATATATTTTTCTCTATGTGAAAATTAACCTAATTGCTTATGTTTAAGATTCATGATTTTTATCAGCTGAAGAGTTAAGCTTAATAAACCTGTAAGATCTTAAACTAAAACTATTAGTTTAAAAACTAAAAAAAGAAAACGGAATGAAAATGTCAGTGTTTCCACTAATTCAAATTACTCTTATAACTATAAAATACTTTCAAAAACAAAATATTAAAGCTAAACTCCCCTCATTTTTTAAGGAGTTTTCTTTCCGAAGAAAAAACATTCTGGGCAAATCCTCAGAGGAATGAAGTAGAAGTCATAAAGTAACAAGAATGATATATGAGAGGGGGTGGTGCTTTAGATCAAAAAGAAATCATACCATGGACTGTAAGTACATATTTCCAACCTAAGAATACATGAAAGGCTGGGCAACTATAGTGATAGCAATACTAACTAGAATTAAATGTTAGTATAAACCAACAAAAAAAATTATACATACGCATTTAATTCTAAGTAAAAATTCCAATTTTGTGTTTAAACATGTCTTTAATTAAAGCAAGACTGAAAAATTAAAAGGAGCTTATACATATGAAATACTGTCACGATACATGAACATAAAGGATATTAATGGGCTAGGGAAAATATCTGATAGTACTTAAATGGTTGCCTAATCACCAATAGGACTGATGAAAATGTTGAAAAGGTCAAAGTCTTGGGTCCAAATGACTATGATACCCTCCACAAATAAATCCTGAGAGGATATTTGTCACCAGTAAGTATAGTCATTAAAGTAACCCCTGAGTTCAATAGCAATTCCTGAAAGGGGTTTTAAAAAATCCAAACAAGGGGCCTCCCTGGTGGCACAGGGGGTTAAGATGCAGCACTATGAAGCTATCCACAGCCACCGCAGCAGGAGTTCCATCCCCAGCCAGGGAGGTAACCCACATGGTGCAGCAGACCTCTCCTGTCTCACCCACTGCTCCCCTCAACAGTGTATTTTTTTAAAGATTTATTTATTTATGCATATAAGAGCTGGGGTATAGGCCAGAGATGTGGGGGATGAGAGGATCCACCAGAGACAGAGTGGGGAGCAGAACAGGCAGACTGACCAAAATACACTGCTGAGGGGAGCAGTGGGCGAGACAGGAGAGGTCTGCCTCGCCATGTGGGTTTCTCCCTGGCTGGCTGGCGATCCAACTCATGCTGCAGAGGCTGTGGATTACTTCATAGTGTGGTGCTTAACCCTTTGGGCCACCAGGGAGGCCCAGCAGTGTATTTTAATGGATCTGTCTGTTCTGTTCCCCACCCTGTCTCTGGTGAATCCTCTCACCCACCTCATCTCTGGCTTGCACCCCAGCTCTTGTATGCATAAATAAATCTTTAAAAAAAAATTAAAGGGCCTCCCTGGTGGTGCAGTGGGTTGAGCGCTGCACTGTGAAGCTGTCACAGCCTCTGCAGCATGGGTTTGAGTCCTGGCTGGCCAGGGAGCTATCCACATGGTGCAGCAGACCTCTCCTATCTCGCCTGCTGCTCCCCTTAGCAGTGCTTTCAGTCCATCTGCCTGTTCTGCTCCCTACTCTGACTCTGGTGGATTCTCTCACCCTCCTGCACCTCTGGCCTATACCCTAGCTCTTGTATAAATAAATAAATCTTTAAAAAATTTTTTAAAAATTAAAAAATTAAAAATCCAAGCAAAACAAAAACCTTTAAAATAAATATAATACATGTATCTAGTTTGAAAAAAGGTAATATTCACTTGGAAATAAATGCATCAGAAAATCTCACTGTCACCAAGAGAAATGAACACGTAAGTATAGTTTAGAGGCTCTAAAAAATTGCAGGAAAACCTACAGTTGTTATTTAAAAAAAATTAAATATACTTACACAGTAGCTCTTCAGCCTGATAAAATCTACAGTCATTGGAATCGATCTATCACTGTTTCTGTTCAGTGCTTTGATGTAATCCAACAGATCAGCGAAGAATTTATAGCCCCCCTTGAGCACACAGAGGGCTACAATGTGATGGCCTCCCATCTCCTTCATCACATCTCGAGCAAGTCGTTCAGTCCTATAGAGATAAAATCAGAAATTAATTGATATCATGATAGGAAGATACTTAGACTTTATAACAAACATCCTTATGCATCAAACTGCCGCTAAACATATTCTTTGACCTCATGAAGTATATTCCTGCTTCAGAAATATAAAATAATGCAACCTTTCGGGGGTAATTTCACAGTATTAAAACATCCAATGAATACCTGCCCCTTGGAAGTGCCCAAACATGTAAAAGGATGTTTGTTCCCTTCTAGAAAGATCTGTAGAAGCAAAATAATAGAGGCAACTTACATGTCCATCAATAGGGGACTGGTTGAATGAATTATGGTACATCCAGAAAGTGGAATGCTATGCAACCTTTAAAATATAAGGGACAGGGCCTCCCCAGTGGCGGAGGTTGAGCGCTGGGTTGCAAAGCTGCCCGCAGCCTCTGCAGCGCTGGTTCGATTCCCGGCTGCTCCCCGGCCACCGGAGGAGGGTCCCACATGGCGCGCAGATCTCTCCTGCCGCCCACTGCTCCCCCCTCAGCAGTGTACTTCGGTCCTTCTGCCTGCTCTGCTCCCCGCTCTGGCTCTGGTGAATTCTCTCACCCTCCGCGCTTCTGACTGTACCCAGTGCTTGTATAAATAAATAAATAGATCTTTTTTTAAAAAAAAAAGACTGTATAAAAAAAAGAAAATATAAGGGACAGCTATGGATGTACTGCTATGAACAAAGTCCAATAAATTTTAGATCTATATGATAGTATATATTTATGTGTTAAACTGTATCTATATATTTACACATAGTACATGTGCATAGCCAGTACTTAGAGAGGAAATATGGATAGAGCCGAGAGGCAAGAACTTTACCCTTCTCATTTATAGCCTCCATAGTCATATTTTACAATTTTATAATTTACAATATTATATTTTACAATATTATTTACAATATTTTACAATATTATAATTTAAAAATCAAGAACAAAATAGCAAGACACACATGCAAGTATTTAAATACCAAGTAAGGTCTTTTCATGGCAATTCATTTAAGGGGAAATTTTCAAGCTAGATGTGCCAAATAATCAAAATCTGACCTTGTTTTCATGTGATTCTGCCCTAACAACAGTACCTTGTTCAGGTTGCGAAAACAAAGAAAATGACTAGAGTTCATTCTTCTAATCTCCCTTCATGGTTTACTTTATTCTACTCCCCCACAGATTCCCAGTATACCATGACTTATACTGGGTAATTAATAAGCCAGTACTCCCCTTTTTTAGTAACAAGGGCTTTTAAAATAGAAAGAAGAAAGTGTCTATTATTTGACAAGCTGGCCTAATTTATGTTCCAATATCAACTACTCAAAACAATTGCTGACACTTGAAATTAACAGAAAAAAAAAAAAACAAGTTCAATTTAAGATCTTACTAACCTGTCCATAATTAGTCCATGAGGAATAAACACCTTTTCCAAATCCTCAGCATAATGATTAGGTATACAAAATAAATCTAGGTCATACCCTGGTTCATCATCACTAATCTGTAAGAGAAATATGTTTCAGTATGAGATTTCAGGGCACAAACCCTTGATCGGATTTAAGTACTGAAAAACATTAACCCATCAGAGAACTTTAGCGTGAGATATAAAGAACTTTCTATAACTTTGTAGGAAAGATAATGAACTATAGTTATACAAGAAATCAACTACATGTTTTAGAGATTAATAGTTAAAGTTGTCAAAGTCAAATTCTATGATACAAAATTTCCTTTAGTTCGGCAAAAAGAAAAAATGTGAAAGAGCTAAGACAAATGTGGCAAAATCTTGATATTTTAAACATGGTGATGAGTATGATATTCATTATATTATTCAGTCCAATTCTGCGTATTTGACAACTTAAAATATTTTTAACACACCATAACTTAACAAGTTAGAATATCACACTGAACAAGAAAAACTGTTGTTTCCTATCCCAAATCCAAATAACCTCTCTCATCTCAAATCACCAATAAAAGGCTAAGTAAAAGTCTGAGATTGTTATGATCAACACATGAGGTGCCTTTATAGTAGATACTCCAAGACTGTGTAGGAACACATATTGGTCGTCATGGAATGCTCAGTTCCTGGCATACAAAATACTTAATAGCACTGATGATATGGTACCTGTGGTGGCAAAATGTACTATGAGTACAGTTTTATAAATATTACATATGCATCTATGCAGACACGAAAATAAAATCATAAAAACTATAATCTTGGGGAGAAGAGTTAGTGATTTTACTTAGTTCTTTATACCATATATTCCAAATTTTCTCCTGTGAGGATATACTGCTTTTTGAAAAAGTCAAGTCTCTTATAAATTATTTTTTATATTATATGCTTTTATATTTTTATATAAAAAGTATAGGGAAATTAGTAAATATATTAAAACAAATATACACACAAAATAGTATAATACATAAGAATAAAAAAGGAAGGAGGGAGAGAAAAAAGGAAGGAAGGATGAATAAGGTGGAATGTACCAAACTACGGTTAGTTAAGGTAAGTGAAAACTTGCCACTCTCCACACTTGTATATTGGCTTTTTTCCATTTGTCAACTTTACTTTTTTATTATAGTTGATTTATAATTCCCATTTACCCTAGTCAAAGCTCATTCAAAAATCAGAATTATAATAATCTATCTCACCTGATCTTCAAGACTAAACTGATGATATAAGCTTTGGCAGTTTTCAAGAAATATTAGTCAAACCATAATTAGATCTCAATGTATCAGTCAATATTCAAGATCAAGTCTTTCAGGCAGCAATGTATAAAGTGCTTAAGGATAGTAGCTTGGCTTTCAATAAATTTTAAAAACACACATTTAATATTTATATTATTCATGAAATTCCTAATTACATTCTGAGAAAATTGAGGTTCATGTTGTCTCTCTTTTAGTCCCAAAAGCTCTGTTTTGAGTTATCCAGACTTCGTGGAATTTTGGGTATTTTTCATGTCAGGCTGGAAATACCTGCACACCACTTATGCCTGTGCATAGGGCCAGGAGGCTGGCAGTTATTTAACTAGATGAACAAGGATATGCCCCCAGGCATAGCCCAGCACGTGGGGTGCAGAGAACTTTGAAGTCAATACTGATTTGTTTTTAAACAAATGTGCATTAATTTCATAAGCAGGAAAAAAAATCTATACGGGGGAAAAAGATTAAGCCAGAACCTCTAAAACGAAGTGCTAATATATCTGCTAAAGATTCACATCATTCTTATATCAGAACACATTTACTACAAAAAGAAAGGAAATGAGATATTTGTGTCACTTTTTAGGAGCATTTTGAGAGTACAACTTTAGTAAACTATAAACTGAAATGTAGTTCAAGTTTGGGGAAAAGAAGATAGGCCTGCTTAATCCTATAAAGTGAGAGAATAAACACTCATGTCAGGCTCATCAGAATATATCTACTACCTGCCAAGAATGAAAACGTACCATTTCATAGTGCTTGAAAATCAAGAAAATTCACAGCACCAAAAAGGCTTCCCTACAGCTTACTCATGCCCCTCCCTCCCAATTACTCACTGTTCTTGCCACAAGCATAAAGACCACCTAGGACTCTTTGAAATATGAAACACCGTCTACGGCCATACCACCCTGAACGCGCCCGATCTCGTCTGAAATATGAAACACCTGTAAAGAGCACTGCTTCTGTGAAAATGGCTTAGTGCTTGTAAAGAGCACTGCTTCTGTGAAAATGGCTTAGTGCTTAGCTACAGGTTCTGTAGGCAGTCTAAGATCTTCAAGGGTCTTGTCTGTCTCATCAAAAGCCAATGTGAACTCTGTCCAGAGTTCATCCCAGGCAGTCTAATACAGACACACCAGCAGGTACATACTCCCAAATAGGGATTCTATTTCTGTCAACAAACCAAATGAATTTCCAATGCGCAAGTTTTTGTTTTCAATCAATACTATTAGATTTATAGATCACGTTTAATGTCAAAGGGTCTGTTTGTTACTACAAGCGTAAAAAACAGATTAATACAAAAAAAAAAAAACACAGATTAATACAACTTCCCAAAAGGCAAAAATAAAAATTCTTAAAACTTGCATTGCTTGAGGTACTTTAGGGATAAATTCACAATTCTGCCATAATAAGTGAGCAGGGCATACGCACGGAGGTCCTAATGTCAGAAAGACATGACTGGCTGTGGAGAACTAGTTGTCAAAAGTGGACAAGGGTACAGAGGGGCTCATTATCTAATTACGTCTGCTTGTGGATGTTTCAAGTAAGTTACCTACCATTTACCCAGACAGTTCAGAAATCTGCCTGCATATCCTCAAAGCCTTACAACACACCTCTCAAATGGTAACCTATCAACAATATACTTGTTAATGCTAAAATCTATGCAGGTACATTTATTAATATGAAAGAGCATTGAAAAAATATAACATCAATATCTACCTTCTCTGTTTGTCTAGAATCAAAGTCAATACTTTCGCTGTCATAAATTACTGAAATAATTTTTCTTTCCAGTAAAACTGACACTGCAAATTCTTAATAATTATGTGTCACATCAATAACAATGGTTTTCATAAGTGAAAGTTTTTGTGGTCTAAATATAAAATTTCTAATTCAAAGATATATTATCTAAAATTACAGTAAGCAAGAAAATTAACCCAAGTTAAGACAGCACTTGCAACGTCAATCTGTGAGTAGGACTGCTTAAGTCTGTGGTCAAAAAATGACAATGTTTGTGGATTCAAACAGAATTAAATGAAAATAAGTCTTAGATGAGCTATGTGAATTAAAAGATGTACAATAGTAGACAAAACATATTTTTGTTTTATTTCATAACCAAAATTTCCAAGTTTCTACAAAGGGCAGAAATTGGTAGGTGGAGTATTTTTTTTTTCCTTTTATAGTCAGATACCTTAAAATTCTCAAAAATCACCATATCAAGCAATAAGCCTCCCTCTTAGATAATTTGTCGTAACTCAGGGAATTGTAAACCAAAATTATGAATTATTGATACATCTATTTCTAAATGTTAAATTATTTTTAACATTATACATATAACTTGTTTTTAAGACTGATATAAAAATGGAAGTTGAAAACTATACTATTATTTTAGTATTTTCAACTTCCATTTTTATATCAGTCTTAAAAACAAGTTACATGTGTAACTTGCCTGCCCTCAATTCCAAGAGTTAAAGAATTAAAAGGGCTTAGAAGAATCCAAGGGTTTTAAGAATTAAAACCAGCCTTCTTAACTATTCAAGGCAGGGATAAATTATTAGCTGATCTAGTTAACTGGGTCCATAACTATTAGATGTGCAAGGACATGAATTTATCCAGCACTATGACCTTTCCTTACATTAGTGTGCACAGTGGAATAATAGGCATGTTCATGCTGAACACAAAAAATACCTATCAATTATCTGAAGTACAGAGTTGAAGATAGTTGTTTCATAACAGTTTGAAGTTTTCATCTGAATTCTGATTAGTAGCAAATTATTCTAATGTTAGTAATTTGGTAGCCAATGGTAGGAAAATAGCAATAGAGTCTCAATATTAATATTAATGATGGTGGTGCACTTTTATAGCATCAAAATCCTACTGAATCCATACAATACAAAATTACAGAAAAGCATGAGTACATTAGTACGTCTTTAGCATCTCTTCACTACAGGCAGGAAAAATGACATGATCCACTGGTTAATGAACTACAGCAAACTAAAAGGAAATACTGAGACTTCTCTGCTGGTCTGGTTGGTCCTTTTGTCTTTTTCCCACCTTCTGCCTATGAACTTTCTGCAAACAATGGACAGAATACAAAACAGATCTACAATATGGGTGTCACAATACAAAATTTGCAGAATGAAACCTCCAAATTGAACTCCACTTCTTGGTGGCCACAAAGAATAATTTTGGTCTATTCTGACTAATGTCAATCAAAGCCCTATTGATAAAAACTGTAGGGTTGTGGACTAAAAAAAAAAAAAAGCATTATTTCATCAATTCTTTAAAAACTGACAAAGATTTAAGACCAGTTAGTATAGGATTACATTTCTAGCACTACCATTGTGAAATTTAGACGATAATGTATTTACATAATGCATCTCTGATGCTTCTCACATTAATTTGCAAAAATTCAGAACTTAGTCTTAATTCAAGCATGTCAACTTTACCCTGGCAGTTTACTATGATAGTTACAAACAGCATGGGTTATAGTAGGCAGATGTTGGAGCTCAGTTCTTCCAGGAGATGTTGGGCAAATTACTTTATCAATCTGTGCTTCCAAGGTCATACTAGTGTTTATCTACCTCACAGGGTCCATATTGTGTAACTTTAGGACATTTATGTTCGATAATGTCTGCAGAATATTAACCTCAATGCCTGAAATACAATAAGCACTTAAAAAAAAAAACAGCTACTATTGTCACTATGGACTTGACAGTGGAGAGATCAAGAACAGATTCTGGGATAGATAACTTAGATTCAAATTCTAGCATTGCCGAGTGATCTTGGGCAAGTCACTTAAATTCTCTACTAAATCACTTTTTTCATTCATATCATACCAGTTTTTAATATATGTAAAGGGCTTAGAGCAGCAGGTAGTAAGCACTACTTAAATGTTTGTTATTACTAACATGCAGACAATTTCTGGGAAGGAAATACAAAAAGGAACAGGAATTTGCAAACTAAAAACACAAAGACTATCTTGATGTTCAAGCAAAACTAATAATAGCCAGTTCTAGCAATAATAGTGTATACTAGGGCAGGCATCATAGCTCAAAGTGAAAAGTACCTCCAACTTCCTCAGTAACTAAATAAAAACCACTACCGCTGTTTTTTGAGTTTCTACTAGAGCACTTAAGTGCAAAGGCTCTTGAGAGCCGCCAAGGTTTCAGTCTGAGCCCCCTCTTTAATAAACGTGGGAGCTAGGCACACACACACACACGTGTTAACAGGTCACTTCATCTCTCTAAGGCTTCAGAGATTTCACCTCTCTGGTAATAATGGGGTTGTTCTGAGAACTAAATAGGACGGTGTGGGTAAACATAAGGATAGCTATTATTACTATTCCCAGTTAAGGACAGTTTAGAGGTGGTTTATTCCCCTAGCATGTCTTACAATCTTTTCAATAGCGTGAGATCGCATCCTTAAGCCCAGAAGGGTAAAGTAAGTTGCCCAAGGCCACACTGCTGGTCCACAGCTCTTTAACTTGTCACAAAGCCCAGTATGCAACAGAATCCTCCCTTTCTTGGGCACGAGTGGTTAATTATTTAAGTTATTCATTCAACAAACCATTAGTGAGAATTTCTTATGAGCCTGGCAACCGGTGCTATGCTTAAGGTTACAGTTGTGATTCCTGCGATAAAGTTTATGCTTTAGTGCGAGCGACAATCAACAGGTCATCAGATGACTGCTAAAACAGCAACGACGATGAGGATGGAGACTCTGCAGGCTAAGCGGTGGGAGGGGGTGCTTTAGCAAATAGAATCAGAAAGGGGGCGGCTCGGCCTGTTCGAGAAACAAGAAAAAGAATCAATGAAGCTGGAGACAGGATAGGAATGCTGTTGACGGTACGAATGTCCTTGACGGGAAGGAGCAGGAACACGTTTGTTGTCCCCTGAAGCCTAAAGAGCAAGGGATCCGGACTTCGGCGCAAGGGAATCCGAGGCCTGGCTTCCGCAGGGCGGTGGAGAGATTACCTAATATCTTTTCATGATTTTTCTCGAGTGTAAAACAAGCTCGGCATGGCGACGGCGACTGCGACCGCGGGGGGGGGGGCAGGGGGTTCAATGAGGCCACGCGCGTGCCCACAAGTCTTCCTCATGAATTTGCAGACCCCAATGAAAGGGCCGGTCCTCACATGCTCTCCATGTGGCGTTTCACGCCAGCCGCCTCTCCAGCTACCCAGGGAGCCTCGCCGCCATCCCGACGCCAGAGAAGGGCCTCTCCCGAGCCAGCGCCCACCCTCTGCCTCCAGATTCTTCCCGAACCCGACCCCGGCCGGCGGCCGCCCGCTCGCCAGAGCACATGTCAAATCCCAACGCCATTGCCTCCCTCTCTGCCCACACGCAGCCCTCTCGCCCCCGGCGATCCAGAGGCGGAGCGCACCCCAAACCTCGCCCCGCCAAACCCCGCCCACGTTTCCCCCGTCCCGCCGCCCCGGGGTGACCTCAGGCCCAGCCCGGGGAGTTGAGGTCGTCCCCCGCCTTCGGCGCGTCCAGCAGGCGCTCGTCCTGCGGGTCCCCGCGCCTCAGGGCCGGGCCGCTGCTGGCGCTGCGGGCCGAGCTGCTCACCACGACGCTGGGGCTGCGGGTCGCCATAACGGAGATAGCGGTCGCGTGGCCTGAGGGCAGTCTGAGGAGAAGGAAGCCGGCGGCGGAGTCCTAGAGGAGGCAGAGGCGTCGCAGGAGTAGGCGCCGCGGCGGGAAAGCCCACAGTCGCGCCCGAAAGCTCTACGCCACCGCGGGTCGCTGAGCGGAGCCGGCTCCGCCCCGCCCGCCCCCGCCCCGGCCCCGCCCCCGCGCCGCCCAGGCCCCGCCCCCGCGCCGCTGCCGGCGCCGACCGGTTTCCACTCGCGAGGTGGCCGTGGCGATTTTTTTTCCCCAAGCCGTGGCGTCTCCTGCGACGCAGCTTCTATCCCTCTTTCCCCCAGTTTTCTCTCCACCTAGCGTCCCCCGCGTTTCTTTATAGCGGCCCTAAACCGGGGACCGGCTTCTGGGGCTCCAGTCACCAGATGGCTCCTCTCGCTGGACGTCCCTTCCGCCAGACCAGGCGCTGCACTGCAGCTTCCCTTTTCCTGATTCGTAACCCAGTTCCTCCAAAAACCCTTAACGGGTTCTGTGGGTTGGGACTTAGAGTCCTAAGGTCAGCCAGAGCAGTGTGCACATACGAAATGATCCCGTTAACTGTACTCTGACCTTGTGCAAATCAGACTCCATGAGCCTCTCTGTTGACCTGAGCATGATCCTTCTTAGGGAGAGAGGAGATCCCACATGTCTGTACGTATGAATATGTATCTCGATAGGTATGTATATATGGTACAGTGCTGAGGGTGGTGCACAATCACACAGTAGGTGCTCAAGAAATGGTAGCGGTTATAATTTGAGCTCTTAAGAATGTAAGTTCTCGGGCCTCCCCTGGTGGCGCAGCGGTTGAGCAATGGGCTGCGAAGCTGCCCACAGCCTCTGCAGCACCGGTTCGGTCCCCGACCACCAGAGGAGAGTCCCACATGGCGCGCAGACCTCTCCTGCCGCCCGCTGCTCCCCTCAGCAGTGTACTTTGTCAGTCTGCCTGCTCTGCTCCCCGCTCTGGCTCTGGTGAATTCTCACACCCTCCTGCACTTCTGACTGTACCCAGTGCTTGTATAAATAAACAAATGAATCTTTAAAAAAAAAATGTATGTTCTCCATACTTCCCCAGTCTCTGTCTTCACTATCTATCAGAGAGACAGCAGGCTATACTTGAAATGAGCCTTGGACTGAAAGTGTAACTGACCAGGAAGTCAGACTCTGAACAACCAAATTGTTTCCACAAAGGAACATTTTTTTAACAGAATTTTTTAAAAGATTTTAATTATTTATTTTTACATAGAAGAACTGGGGTGTAGGCCAGAGGTGGAGGGGTGAGAGGATTCACCAGAGACAGAGTGGGGACCAGAACAGGCAGATCTACTGAAATACACTGCTGAGGGGAGCAGCCGAGAGACATGAGAGGTCTGCTGTGCCATGTGGGTTGCTCCCTGGCCAGGGACTGAACTGAGACCATAGCCATGATAGGGAAAAAACTTAACCCCTAGGCCACCAGGAAAGCCCCTCCACAAAGGAAGCTTTTTTACTGGCAATGTGCACCACCCCGGAGAATGGCAGGGTGAGTATAGTCCAGAAAAGTCCATCTCCCCAAGTGACTGGTGAGTGATGGAAGATTATATAGGAAAGAGCAATACAGGGACTTGCTGGGCATGGAGAGAGGTTTTTTTATTCTCAGGTCTGGGAGGGCACCAGGCAGTCTAGGGGCAGTCAATCACAAGACTGTTGATGATATTTCTGCATAGTTGCTCTCTTCTGTATTATCAATTTAAAACAATCCTCGTGTGCTCATCAGGCACTGATGTTATCAGCATTCTCAAAAGGCACAAAAATACTTCCTTAAGCAACACATTACTGCAGCCTTGAGGAATGTGAGCACAGTGGCTTCTAAGGCAGGGACCTTGCCATTGTCCTAGGCTCAGATACTCAAAGTATCTGAGTTCAAATCCTAAATTGACCATTAACTAGTGCTGTGACCTTGGGTAGGATCCTGTGCCTCAGTTTCTAATGCAAAAATTGCCTAGCATAGTGCTAGCCTCAATAAATGTTATTACCAAGGTTAGGTAGTCCATGTTTTTGTCTTAAACAATTCTTCACTCTATCCTTCCAGCCTCTAAGACTTACTCATTGTCCTGTTGATGGATATTTGGTCAGTTCCCACATTTAGATTATTATACACAGTGCTGCTATAAATAATTACTATGTATTTTTTTGTGAACACAAGAATATGTTTCTATTGGGTATGGCCTTTGAAACTCCTATCAGCATTTTTATTACTTATCTTTCAGCAAACATTGTGTTCTACTGGGAAGTTATCCCAACTCAGCAACCCTCATTTGTTTCTAAATTAGGTCCCCAATGTTTAGAATCCTTTCAGCTTGCTTCTGACTTACACTTCCTCCTCCAACTTCTGGAAGATGACATATTGTATTTTAATAGAGATTTGAAATAAACAGCGATAGCCTGGTGATTATAAAGACAAAGAAGAGTATTATTATTTCAGTACTGTTATTCTATGTGAATAGAGTTTTTATTGGAACTTGGAGTTTTTATTTGTGTTTATAGTTTATTTTAATATCGATTTGACAGTTGTTTTCATATCTATATAACTTTGGGGTACATTATTGTACCTCATACATACACATGCTTCACTCACCCTGCATCAAACCTCCTGTGCCAATGTCCTAGCCCTTCCTCCCCTGATTCCTTCCTCCCTTCCCCTTTCCCTCTCTGGTAACCAGCAGCTTTTTCGGTCTAAGAATTATGTTTACTGTAATTTGTCAGTGTGTGTTCTTTCATTATTTATTTACCACAAATAAGTGAAACCATCCAGTGTCTGTCTTTCACATTCTGACTTATTTCACTTAATGTAATCACTTCAAGATCCATCCATTTTGTTCCAGAAGGCACTATTTCCTGCTTTTTGGATAGCTGAGTAGCAGTCCATTGAGTATATATTCCATAATTTCTTTATCCAGTTGTCTGTCGTTGGTTCCATGGCTTGGCTATTGTGGATGGTGCTGCTATGAGTGTCTTTAAAATTTAAAACAGGGCCTCCTCTGGTGGCACAAGCAGTTGCGCGCAGTGCTATGAAGCTGTCTGCAGCCTCTGCAGCACCGGTTCGATCCCAGCCAGTTCCAGAGCAACCCACATGGCGCGGCAGACCTCTCCTGTCTCGCCTGCTGATCCCTTCAGCAGTGTATTTCATCAGTCTGCCTGTTCTGTTCCCTACCCTGTCTTTGGAGGATTCTCACCCTCCCGTGCATCTGGCCTGTACCCCGGTTCTTGTATAAATAAAAATAAATCTTTAAAAATAAAATAAAATTTAAAAGAGTACTATCTGCAAGATAATACTTTTGCTTGGTAAGTAAAAATCTGGTTCATGTATAAAAGAGTTTACTGAATTTGGATGATAGATTTAAAATTGAAATGAATTCTTTTAAAAGCTTGTTTTAAAAATAAGGAAGAAATCAAGAAAATGGTTATTACAAAAAAATAATTATTACAAAAATAATTTTGTCATTAGCAAAATAATTTTATCATATAATTGTGCACTTTTTGTTAAAAATTGTCTACTCTGGGTGTCAGCTATCCTAGGTATGCCACTGTTCTTTTCTAGAATATCTGCAAGCAGGAAGAAGCAAAGCATGGATGGGATGTAACCCAAGAATACCTTCCGCATTTCTGCCTTTCCAGAAATAATTATGTAGTCTGCTTGTTTGCACACGATGAGAAATTATTTGTGTATCACAACGAAGTGTAATATAGTTCTTTTTAAAAAAGATTTATTTATTTATGCATACAACAGTTGGGGTGCAGGCCAGAGGTACAGGGCAGGAGGGTGGTAAGGGGGTTCACCAGAGACAGAGTGGGGAGCAGAACAGGCAGATTGTCTGAAATACACTGCTGAGGGGATCAGTGGGCAAGACAGGAGAGGTCTGCTGCGCCATGTGGGTCACCTCCCTGGCCAGGGATGGAACTCACGCTGCAGTGGCTAAGGATAGCTTCATAGCGCTGAGACTTAACCCCTTGCACCACCAGGGAAGCCCCAAGTGCAATATAGTTCTGCTAAAATGTTTCTTCATTTAATAAGAACCATGTTTTTACTATGGTGCTGTGAGCCACCAAAATCTGTGTTTCTATGAAAAAAAATTATCACCGTATAAATATTTACTTTCAATGTTGAACTTTTAAACTGAATTTACAGCAGCTTTCTCGGTAATGTCAGATTATTTGTTTCACTGTCATCAAAATTAATTCCCTCTTTTTTTTTTTCTTTTTTTGCTCTGGTCCATTCCTCACCATTTCTTGCCTGAAATACTGAAATAGCCTCATTGCCTCTTAAAACAGATATCTATAAATTAAAATATTTATAAAAATCTAGTTAGTCCTTTGCTCAAAACTGTCCAGTGTCTCTCCAATTCACTCTGAGTTAAGCTCAGTATCTTTACAATGCCCAGGAAATCGCACCTATTACCTAGCACTCTCCCTCCTTGCTACACTGGCATTTCTACACTAGAGCAGGCACACTCCAACCCCAAGCATTTTTCACTTGCTCTTCCCTAAGCTTTACTTTGATTCCAGAACTTGGATGAAAAATTGAACCATTTATTGGAAGTAACTAACGTGACGGTTAATTTTACATGTCAACTTGGCTGGCCCATGATCCTCAGATATTTGATAAACATTACTCTGGTTGTTTCTGTGAAAGTGTTGTTTTCAATGAGATTAACCTTTAAATCAGTGGACTTTGAGTAAAGCAAACCTTCCGCAATGTGAGTGGATTTCATCCAATCATTTAAAGGCTTGACCTCCCTAACCCAAGAACGTATTCTGCCAGCAGACAGCCTTTGTACTGGAACTGCAACTCTTCCCCAGTCTCTGGACTCACCAAGCCTCCACAGTCAAGTGAGTCAATTCATTTAAAATGAACCTCTCTTTTTCCCTCTCCCCTCCCTTATCTCTCCACCCCCCCCCATTACCTTAGAGTTATTGTGGGTTTGGCTCCACAGCACAGCAATAAGAAGAGCCACATGAATTTTTTAGTTTTCCAGTGCATATAAAAATTATGTTTATACTACACTGTAGTCTAAAGGTGCAAAAAGCATTGTATCTACGGCCTCCCCTGGTAGCACAGGCAGTTGAGCGCCACGC